AAGGGACGAGACCTGGAAACACCCCCCCGCCGTGGCAGCGCCTGGCACAGCCACCCCGGGCGCGGGGCGAGCTCCTGGCCGTGACGGGGCTTTTGGGGTGTGCTCGGAGTAGGCGTCGAGGTGCTAACAGCTCTCCTGGTGCAACCGCGCCGAGGCCACCACCCCTGCTCCTCGGCCCTTCTTCGGCGACATTTGGGGTGACCCGTTTCCTCTCGCGCGGTTTCAGGTTGGTGTCAACGGTCCAAGCCACGATGGCAACGGTGTCGGGGATCACGGTTGTCCTTAACTGCGAGGACGTGGTGTACGACAGGTAATCCCGTCCGAGAGTCTTGCTGTCAATGCGGAGGCTGTGCCCGGCCAGCTCGCAGCTGGAGTATTTTATGCCAAAGGCTGGCACGTACAAAAGGGAGAGGAAAACAAGTTTCATGTTCCTCTTTCCTCCGCTTCGGGTGAAGGATTGGGCAACATGCTGGCGGTACACCCCCTGAAAGGCACTGGCTTTTTTTGGGAAAATTCGGTGCGCTCAGACCTGGGGCGGGTCTGCCAGCACGGAGGGTCTCCTCCTGGGGATGGGCTGTAACATGGGCCCGTAGGTGAGCAAAAAACAAAAGACATCATCACTTCTAAAGGGGTAGGGAGTTTCCTTGCTGGAATCCAAAATTGCTAATGAGTCAAGCAGACCTAGTGAGAACTGATTTTAGAGGTGCATCACCTTTTCCATGTCAAATGGGTGCTGAAGGAGTCCAGAAATGAGAAAATCAGTACAAAGTTTGCTCTAAAGGAAAATCACACCGTCTTGTCCTCAATGCTCTGAGATAAACTGCCCCAGGTGTGGCTCTCAGCAGGAGTGATAGCTCAATCTGGGTCAGAAGGCTTAAAAACAGAGCTATTATCCAGAATAGCAGAGAAAATTGTAGGAGAGAAGAATATAATTATGCTGGGCTTTGACCATCACACTGGATTTTAGGGAGGGAGGGCTGCCCTCTCGGTCATTGCAGACTTGCCTTTAGTACACAGATGTGAAATGTCCTACCTTGCTCTAGTGAGATCTGTCCAAATTGCTCAGTCCTGCTTAACCCGGGCAGCCTAATGAGTTAACCCTTTTTGCTCTAAAATAAAGTATCTGCTGTATAGACAGGTCAGATGGTAAATCCCAGACCCACACAGACGGAAGGCGCTGCCGGCAGCCCTCCTTCTCCCCGGAGCCGTGTGCTTGCCTGGGTGCTCTCAACGCCAGCAGCTCCGTGCGAACACTTTGTGGTCAGAGACCTAGATTTTCTTTGAATCTGGAGGAAATACAGCCCAGTGCTCCGCGGGGAAGGTCTCGGAGAATGACAGCAAGACAGAGAGCCAGGAAGCATCACAAAGGTTGCAGTAAAATTTGCCAATTTATTTACACAGGCAGACAATCATGATATTGCTGGCACTACAATTGCCCTCCAAAGCCCTGGGCAAGTTTTGCAAACACAATAGCTGGTCACTTCCCCTCCCTGCTTTATATCACTTAGGTCTTTCTATCCGAAATAAGAACGCAGGCAACAACATTTTTCTTGAGATGGCAGGAGAGCACGAGCAGATTTATTTGGGCCCCAAGCTACACTTCTTTAAGCAGCAGCGTAGGGTGGTTTTTCTTTTTTATCAGTGTGATTTCACTCAGGACTTTTTAAGGAGCCCGGTCTCCCTGCAGAGCAGGGCTTGCTGCTGCCCAGATTGTGCAACCAGGGAACAGGCAGCTGCCTGCAATTATTTCCCAACAGACAAACGTCTCGCGGGGGTTTATTGCCTATATTAGATATTTTGCACTTCCCTCTCCGAAGTCCAGGCCAGGCATCTCTAACTTACTCCGAGGTCTCCGGGTGCTTTCCAAACGCTCCCCAGATTAGGCAGCCAGCCGAAGCGGCGCGGCAGGCAGAAAGAACGGAGTCTTGGAGCTTTTCTCTGCCTGGGTGTCCCAGGGCTTAGGGGAGAAGATTACCTGCCGCAAAGGTGTCGGATTAGTGCTGGAGCTCGAGCGGCGCTGTGCCCCTGGCCCACACGGCAAACACCCAGCTGCAGGGCTAATCAAGATCCTCCCGTTAGCGCCGTGTTTGTGCTTGGCTGGGCCGAGCTCGGTGCCTGGCACGGCCAAGCGCGAAGCGGGGGCAGCGCCGAGGAGGCGTCCTCCACGCGTACCAGGTACCTTTTCCCTGCTGAGCCAAATCAAGTTAAATTTCGACACTTCTCAGCTTACCATCAGCTTCAAAATCCGCTGCTTCCTTTCAGACCTAAAGACTCTCTTCCACCTTTTCGAGCATCGCGAGGTGCTCAGAGCCATTGCGATGCCTCTGTGTGTGCTGCTCCTCCCCTAGGCACTGGCTGGCCGTAGAGTACATCTGGGTCCTCGTTCCCTACATGACCTACGACATTTACGTCATGTACCTCTGCCACTGGCACAAGAGCCAGGACAGGGGAGTCGCGGAGAAGAAGCACTCGCTGGCCAGCGTGCGGAGCTTCCTCCTGCAGGAGCGGCTGATGGTGACCCACCACCTCTTCATCCTCATCGTGCTCACCCCCGTCACCCAGGTAAGGGCTGGGCACGGCCGCTCTGACACCCAGCCCCACGTGGCTGCAAGGGCTTGCAATCGAGGCTGTGTCTGGCAAAGTATTTCTGCTGGTCAGGAGCCCGTGACCCCCTGGAGACGCTCGGTGTTAGCTCCAGCCTCCTCCCCGGGAGGGCCCCATGCTCATTGCTGGCTTTATTTGCAGCACTTCAGGGGAGAGCTGGGGGACTTCTTCGTGGGCTGCATCTTCACAGCAGAGCTGAGCACGCCTTTCGTATCGCTGGGCAAAATCCTCATGCAGGTAGGTGAGGAGGGACGGGGCTCGGCTCTGGGAACCCCACAGCGGCTCGTACCTTTTCCCCGCCCCAGGCTGCCCGTCTCCATCAGCCCTTGTTCATGCAGCAGCTGGGCGGGGGGGTCTCAGAGGGGGGCAGCCCCACAGCTGTAACCCCAAGCTCCCCCACAGCGCTGCCCTCCTCCCCGCCTCCTGTTAGGTTCCCATCCCTTTCCCCAGTAAGCAGCATACCCAGGGGAAGCCCCAGACTGGGGGCTGTGCTGGTCCTGGTGCTGCCCCCTCCTGTCTGTACCTCCCCCCTGCCCCACGCTCCCTCCTGCCCCAGCCCTCTACGCCTCCCTTCCTCCCCTATCCCTTCCCCCCCTGCTTTCCTGCTCCCTCCAAAATGCTCCCCCCATCCACGCCCGCTGGGTGCTCGGCTCCACGCTCCCAGCCCGAGGCGCGATGGGGTGCTGCTCACCCAGCGCTCACCCCACGTTCGCCTTCTTTCCTTCCCCAGCTCAAAATGCAGGACACGCTCCTGCACAAGGTGAACGGGATCCTCATCCTGGTGACCTTCTTCCTCTGCCGTATTCTCCTCTTCCCCTTCATGTACGCGGCCTACGCCAGGCAGGTGGGAATCCCCATTTACATGGTGCCTTTCCGCATCCCCCTGCACTGCAACATAGCCAACGCCTCCCTCATCGCCCCCCAGCTCTACTGGTTCAGGCTCATCTGCCGCAAAGCCGCCCGACTCTACGGCAGG